TTCTATCTCTGGAATGCTAGGATTAAAGGTGTGAGTGCCACCATTTTCTAGCCTTTGTATCTAGTGGCTGTCTGTTCTCTGACCCCAGATAAATTTATTAGAGTACACAATATTTTGGGGATCACAATACCACCACAGGTTACTATTTTGGTAAGTCAAGTTCTTGAAATTTACAAAATTATGGACTTTGTTGATATGTAATATGTTTTAGTTAATTACTAAATATGAGCATTCTCTGACATGCTACATGAATTTGAACTTTTTAGTTTATTACATCTTTTTCTTTGGTTAATGATTCATTCATTTTGTTATATCATATTTGATTTTCAGGACTAATGAAGACTGAGAGAGTATTTCATTTTGTTTCTAAATACGGATAGAAGAACTTCTACTCTCTCCAGGATGACAGAATAAATTTGTTCAAATGGAACCTGCCTTAGCTAGGATTTCTATTGCTATGAAGAGATATTATGACCAGGCCAACTCTTTTAACAGAGAACATTTAATTGGGTGGTTTATAGTTCAGAGGTTCAGTTTGTTATCATCATTTTGGGACATGGTGGCATGCAGGAAGACATGGTGCTAGAGAAGGAGCTGAGAGTTTTATATTCTGATATACAGGTAATTGGAAGTGATCTGAGACATTGGGCATGTCTTGAGCATATATCAGATCTCAAAGCTGGGCTCCATGGTGATAAACTTTCTCTAACAAAGCCACACATTATAATAGTGCCACACCCAATGAGCATATGGGGGCAATTACATTCAAATTATCACATTCTACAATTTTCCCCCCAAAAGCTTCTAATGAAAATCATAATGCAAAAATGATTTAGTCTAACTTCAAATGTCTCCATAATGTTTAAAAGTCTAGAGTTCAATGTCCCTTCTGAGATTATTGTAATGTCTTATTTGTAATTCCCTATGAAATAAAATAAAAAATGATCAGATGACATATTCCAATATCAATGGCAGAGGATATAGATTACCATTTCAAAACAAAAGTGAGGGGAGCATAGTGAGGAAATACTGAACCAAAGCAAGACTGAAAACCAGTTCAGCAAACTCCAAAGTCTGTATCTCTCTGTCTGATGTCAAAACACTCTTCAGCTCTCCAGCTCCTTTCAGCTTTGTTGACTGCAACACACTTCTTTCTCCTGGGCTGATTCCACTCCCTGTTAGCAGCTTTCCATGGCAGGTATCCCACAGTTCTTGCATCTCCAACATTATGGAGTCCCCTGGGTAATACAGACTTCAACTCCACAGCTTCACAAAATGGCCTTTTTAGCTTCCATTCAAGGACACCCTTGACACATGCCTGGCCTTAGTGGTTTTCCATAGTCAAGGAAGCAAATTCTGTAACTTCTTTCTTCTATCCTTATCTCTAAAGCCAGAATCACTTGGCAGAAGCTGTCAATTTCTTCTGCTTACGGGGGCTGGAAAACGGCCCTTTTGTTCAATTACATCTTCACCAGCTTTCTGTTGTTAAGGGTTATCATTACCATCTAAGTTTGGTTGTCCTAGAACTTGTTCTGTATACAAGTCTGGACTCAAACTCAAAGATCCACCAAGAGTTACCACACTGAGCTCTAACTTTTCCTTTAATCCTTTTTCACAAGTTAGAAATTTAGCTGGGTGGGATTTTGCCCTGAGGTCACCACTCCCTGTTAGTGCTTTGCTTAATCTGTTTATCTCCTTGATCACAGGATTAGCTCCCTTCTAATTCCTAGTGCTCCTTTTCATGATAAATCTTTATGAGCATGAACACTAGTAATCAAGCAATAGAGATTAAAGTAGGCTGTTTTGAGATTTCCTCAGCCAAAGGAATTAATTCAATTCTCTTCACTTAAGCTGTAGGCAGACTCTTCAAACAAGGACAAAAAGTGGCCACTGTCTTTACCAAAATGTCACAAGAATGATTTCTAGTCAACATACTGATATTCTTCTCCTGTTAAATCTCTTGAGCCAGCTCCCCACAGTTTAAATCAGTCAGCACTGCTGTCTTCAATGCTGTCTCAGTTTGGGTTTCTACTTACATGAGTAGATACCATGAGCAAAGCAACTCTTATAAAGGGAAACATTTAACTGGCAACTTAGAGTTCAGAGGTTCCATCCATTGTCCTCATAGTGGGACATGGTCTCCTGCAGGCAGATACAGTATTGTAAAAGGAGCTAAGTAAGAGTTTTACATCTTGATATGCAAGCAACAGTAAATGATATGAGACATTGGGGAAGGCTTGAGCATATATGAGACTCAAGGCCTGCCTGCCTCCACATTGACATACTTCCTCTAACAAAGCCACACCTTCAGCAAAGCCACACTTTCTAATAATGCCACTCCCAATGAGCTTATGTGGGAAATTACATTTAAACTACCACAGAACTACATAAAGTAACAACACCTTGTATTCCAAACTACAGCTTTGTAACATACATGAAATTGTAGTGCATCTGATATCATCAGTGATTTAAATTCATAAATTATCTACACTTTCTTGAATAAAAGGTCAATGGAGAATAAAATGTGCCCTATTACAATGAAGAAATCATAATTACATTAACATACATTAAAAATGTTTAAATTATAAGTCTAAAATTCAAATCTTTTATATATATTATATTCAAATGTTTTACATATATATAATTGATTTGAATTTCTGGAAAAGGAATGTTGGTTTTGTCATTTAATTACTTAAAAAATAAATGAAAGGGGCAAATCAAGAGGTGTGACTAGTGGAGCTCCGATGACTGCTCACTTTGGCCTTAGGATACATGACTTTCCTCTTCACTTGTACCTAATGTTTTATTCCCCTCTAAAACTAATTTTTTTCACTGTACAGCTCTTCTGAACTTTTCTATTTAGTAAACTCTCTACTTTTGAGCAATTTTTGTTTGCATCTTATTACAAAAATCTCCTTATTATGCCTAACAATCAGGCATACAATACAGTAATGGTACATGGCCATGACTTTTCCATGGTTTTCTGTTGGCTTTAAATTCACTGTGCTTCAAAGCCTGGAGCCATAGGTCAAAAGTACACAGAGAAATCATTTATGTGCATAGACTTTATATGTGCCAGAGAGGATATTATTTCTGAAAGTGAACCCCAAAACAAATGAGCATGGTAACACATAACACCATTTGACCATACTATTAACTGAGATAATGAGTACAATGGAGGCATTTCAAGGCACTATAAGATTTCTGAGAAGATACAGGAGCAGTTTAGAGTGCTTTTTTGTTTTTTATTTTATTTATTTTATTTCTTAACAGTAAAGAGTCAGCTATAGCAATATACTTTAAAGAATGGCTTTAATATCACATTTCAAAAGCATTTGACTTTTGAAATATAACTTTTAAAGATGAGTTATTAACCCTTTATAATTTTGAAGATGGTTAACATATTATTTCTCTTAACATTCCTTTTTTTTAATATTGAATCATCATGAGTAAAATTCTCTTATTCTGACTAAGCAGTAAAATTTCTTGTACTTAAGTAGATGATGTGGGATAAACATTTTGTTAGTGGGTGTTATTTTTTCATCTTCTAGAAGTAAATAAAACTAATATGAAAAATTTTTAAGAATATAGTCAATATATTCTAAGTACAACATAAATGAATTAAAGTAGATGTATCATTTATGTAAAATTATAAAAATATATTAATATATTAAGGATGCATTTCTTTCAATCAATATAACTACTTATCTATTTCATTTATTCATAAATTTCCATTTCTGGCTTCATGTTAAAATTATAACTAAAGTGGTAATGACTATTAAGTGACTTGTTCTCTCCCTAGATTTACATCATTACTATTAAACGCTGAAAATATTTTACCTTGATAGGCAATAAATGGAAGCCATTAGTAAAATGATTTGCCAAGGAAAGTCAACACTGAATCTGATGATGGACAAGTTACTTTCAGATTTATGGCAATCTTAGATTTATAAACCAATTGATAATGAAAAAGTAATTTGAAAGTTATTAAAAACTAAAATGACAAAAAATTTTATAATGTCTACTTACAACTCAACAATACCTCTTTCACAAGTAATTCAATAATAATAGAATTATAAAATATATTAATTAATATAAGAGGATGATAGACAGGCACAAAAACACCCAGGCATAGAGAAAGAGACAGAGAGAAGATAATGATGAAATCACACCTGAACAATAATTGCAGAGAGTCTTCAGTTGTAGACAAGTAAAAATATAAACATGAAAAACAATAGATAAAACTAACAAAGTAAAAATTGAATTGTAACAATTTCCTTTTTTATATTCATAAACTAACTGATAATGAAAAATTAATTTGAAAGTTGTTAAAAACTAAAATGACGAAAAATTTTATAATGGCTATTTACAACTCAACAATATCGCTTTCACAAGTAACTCAATAATAATAGAATTTTAAAATATATAAAAGGTATGGTCACTTGTTTTTTGTTGTTGTTGTTGTTGTTGTTGTTGTTTGTTTGTTTTTGTTTTTGCTTTTATTTTTGTTTTTCCAGACAGGGTTTCTCTGTGTAGCCCTGGCTGTCCTGGAACAGACTCTGTAGACTAGGGCTGCCTAGATCCACCTGTTTCTGCCTCATAAGTACTGGGATTCAAGACATGGACCATCATTGCCAGACCATGGTCATTTAATTTCACAGATCTACAACGCATGAAAAGTTGACAGAAGTCTCCAAGCTGATAGGGCATTAGATCAAATGTAACTCTCATGTAGGGAAAAGATCATTGTAAATACAGAACTGACGGTATCTTAGTCACTCTTCTAGTGCTGTGAGTGCTGTGAAGAGACAACATGACTAAGGCAACTCCTATGAAAGAAAATATTTAATTGATGGCTACTTATAGTTTCAGAGGTTTACTCCATTATCATCACAGCAGGGAGTATGGCAGCATCCCACAGGCACTGGAGCAATAGCTCAGAGCTAGATTGTTTTCTCATTGGCAGAAAGACAGAGTAACACTGGAACTGCCTGGGCCTTTTCAAACCTCAAAACCTACTCCCAGTGAAACACTTCCTGCAACAAGACCATACCTCTTAATCCTTCTAATCCTACCAAAAAATCCACTCCCTGGTGACTGAACATTCAAATATATAAGCCTATGGGGATCATCATTATTCAAACCATTAGAGCAGGTATGTATAAAATACTATTTCTAACATAATCACTCAAATATATCATTACACAGAAAAGTAACAAATATAAATGAGATGTTTTCTTCACCAACCCCACATCTGACAGAGGGCTGATCTCCAAAATATATGAAGAACTCAAGAAACCTGACATCAAAATACCTAATAATACAATTAAAAAATGGGCTACAGAGATAAACAGAGAATTCTCAACAGAAGAATCTCAAATGGCCAAAAGACATTTAGGGAATTGCTCTTTTTTGGTCACCAGGGAAATG